TGATCTCACAGGGTGATTAAATTCAAGGTTGTGAACCACTAAATCAGTTATTCCAGGCTGATTGAAAAAAAAAAAACTGATGTATGCTTATCCAGCAAAGTCTATAACTGAGATATTTGTTTAGAACTCAACTGTTCGTCTAGTTTACTCTCTGGTATCAAAGTCATACATGTTTAGGTCAGTGGGGATATATGGAATATCTACTTTCTGCTCTAAGCCTTTGTCACCACCCTCCTGTATTAAAAGGTTTATTGTCTCAGGCCATTGATAATATGGCTTCAGCATGTTGACACAGTATATTGAAGACTGCTTTCTTTTTCCTGATAATTTCATTATGTAGCTAATCTTCGAGAGTTGACTCTTTATAATAGCAGGCCCAAACCACTGAACCAATAATCAGTTCCCTTTCCAGGAGGCGATGGCTAGCACAGAGTTCCTTTTCTAAATTGTCTCAACTTTTTTCTTATCGTACCATAATTTACATTTTCCCAACAATTCTCCTCATTTTTCAAATGTTAGCTCTTGGCACTTTTGTAGCCTAATTATTAACATACTCTGTAACAGAAGCATTATCCTCTTTGTGCTCAACCCAATGTTCATGCAATAGTGTTTCTGGTGTCTTCAAATTCTTGCTGCAGTCTAATATGGTGGAAATGAATCCTGTATGTTCATGCATAGCCCTATGCAATGCTAGTATGTCAGACATGAGATGTTTCTCCCAATCTGATCCAGCTTCTAAACACAACACTCACAAAAGTCTTTACATCATGTGGTAAAATCTCTCTAAGGGCTGAGGGTAATAGACAAAGCTATATGTCACTTTAATCGTAAATTTTGTGAAGATTCCTTTAAATTATTCACGAAGGAAGTTCTTTCATCACATTTAACTTTTTTAAAGTACAAAATTCTACTGAAAATCTTCATCATTGCACCCGTTGCCATCCAGAACTGATATCTGCAACAAAAATTGCATCAAGATATCTTGAGCATATGCAGATGGTAGTTATTGTAAATTTATTCATACTCGAAGTGACCGGTAGAGATCCACAAGCATCAACATTGACGTTGGACAAAATTTCATTTATGATGGGCACTAATATGATAAGTGCCTTTCTCCTTTCTTTGAATTTTCCCACCTTTTAACATGGAGCGCATGTGCAAACATGCAAATGTGCTCCTGTATTTCTTTGAAGCAACCTGGGCAATAAAAGTACCTTAGAAGCTTATCTCTCATTTTCAAGTTCATTTTTCAGTGTTCTATTAAAGTTAGGTAGTTACAGGTTTCTAACAACATCTTAACTGATGCTCTTTTGAGGATAGAAATTGGTTCTATAACAAAATCTCCATTTTTGGATTTAAAAAAGTTTTTTGGAGTTTTTGGAATCTAGAAGTTTAAAACTTTCTGCATAATAATGCATCATCTTTGAAGCTAGGATTTTAGCTTGCCAGTGTTCTGATGGTTATATTCTTTGTGATATCTCATCTCTTTCTTCATCCTTTTGTTTTAAATCTCTTTCGCCGGCTCATCCATTTGTATAACCTCTCACGTCGAAGAAGTGCAGCTGATATAAAACTTTTATTCTTTCACCATTATATATGGCCTAATAGGAAGCATCATACCAAAAAATGGGTAAGGTCTTACCAAAGATAAAAAAATTCACAGATACACTAAAGCACAGCTGAATGCATTTTCTCATCTTGATGTATGCTTTTCTTAAATTCACATGAACAATGTTGGTCAGAAGATAAGATGTACCTTTTGACAGTAATAGATAGAATCTCCAAAAAGCCTGTCCCTGATATGAAAACTTGAAGATTTATTTGCTGATCCGTTTTCGACACATAGATCTTTTGCTTTGGCTGCCTATTGGTCATAAGGATAGACCAAAATTCTCAAATGAGACCCACAGTGTTTGTAGATCACTGTGGATTCTAACGTTAGGAGAAGGGAAACTCAGACATCCTCCATTGCCCTGCAATTTTAGTCAGAAAATTGCACTTTCCATTTTTCTGTAACAAAATTATTCAAAAAACATCTATTTGTGAATTAGATTTTCTAGAGGCATTTCATATTAAAAAAGTCTTTCTGTTCTAATTAAGAACCCTATTTTAAATCCATCATTACCCTCAGCCTTTAAGGAAATTATGTTTAAATTTTCTTATTTCATCAAGAGATGGCACCAGTAGCTTGACTTCTTTCCAGTTAATCTTATTTTATCACCATATTCTATCTCATTCTTTTGCACTTAGGCATCTGAAGAAAATGGTACTGTATTTAAACCATCGAAACAAGTCCTGCAAAATTTACAAATATTATGCTGATTTGTTGTTTAACTTCTCCAATAAGTATTATGTTTACTCTTAAAATCCTGTGCATATGTGTACTTATATATTTACTGAATATTTGGGTCCACATAAAATCCTCACTAAATTGGGCTCATCAGTGGTCGAGCGGTAAAAGTCACTGAACACTGGTAATTTGGCTCAGGATTTGAACACCGGTGAATTGACTGGTTGCATGGGCATTTTCCTGCTTTTTCCCCATGTGTAACATGTATACAAGCCACATTCCCTTAGAAAGTCCTCTCTCTTCTTGAGCAGATAACTGTGAAGTGCTTTGCAAACCAAACCTCGCCAAACTGGACAACACTTTAACAATTGAAGTACAGTCAAAAGTCATTAATCCGGACTCGTCAGGACTTCGGCGATTCCAGATTATCGATTTTTCTGGATTATAGATCATCAGTTTAAATCTGGTAAGATGGTATGCAGAAATTACAGAATTAAAGATATGAAACCGTAATTTATGAAATAAAGAACAATTATGATCTAAAGGGTATCAAAATTTACAAAAAGAAAAAGCTTAATATTTATTTGTTTACTTTATGAAACATTTCCTTCAATGAAAGTTGTTTAAGTTGCTTCGTTTCATGTGATAATACTTTCTCTTTAATTGTATTAAACAGGCATAATTTCTTGTTTAGTTGCAAAGTTCCACTGTTCAAGTCCTATAATTGCTGTGTCGAGAATAACGACTAATTTTGTCAATCGAAATTTTTTCGTTTTCAATAACCTCTGTGTCACTTTCTTCACTATCGGAAGCGAATTATAATGATGAGAAACTTGATTTAAATCATATCAAAGACGGAGTACATCGAGATGAAATACTACATTTAGTAAGGAATTATAAGCCAAATAAAATAAAAACATCTGCCCTGAAAATAAGGATAGTGCTGACAGATCAACTTCTAATTCATTGTCCCCCCCCTGCCGCAGAGCAGCGTGAAATTGATAAACAGATTTCAGATTTCGAAACATATTTTCACTTTGTAGATCCTTTACATATTAGTAAATATATATCAGAAATTCTATTTGACATAATCGAAAGTTCAAAGCTTACTTTTATAAAATTGCTCTAACAGTCTGCAAAAAATAATAAGCCGGATCCAATTCAAAGATTAAGGAATAACGCAATCTGCAACATTAACTGAATTAGATAATTTTAGTTTAGCTTATACTGTCCGTTATACATTAAACGCGCATGCGTAAATGTATTATGCGCATGCGCACACGCATATTCGCAGCCGTAAAGGTCTTCTGCACATGCGACGCATGCACAGAAAGTTTGTAGCTTTCAGGTCCGGATTTTGGGTGTCCAAATTAACGACTTTTGACTGTATATGTAACAATATAAATAAATGGTCTTAAATCTACTGTGTAAAACCAGTCTTTTTGGTTTCCAGACTCTGATTTGCATGAGCCTAAATCAAACAGAGTAAAAAGACAGTTCAACAGAATTAATTTGTTACTGAACTCTAAGGCATAAACTGTTACAAAATCAACCAGACATGTTCTGGTCCCAAAGAAACTTGCTTCTCTATATTTTTGTGTTGTAATCTTGTCATGTGCTAAATAACATTTTGATATCTTCCTTTTTTAATACTGATTTGGTTAATTAGAGGGGAGAACCTTGATAATATAGATCCTCTAATATATATCTTGCATAGACTCCTTGCTCTGTCCCTTTTTAGATTTAATGTCATTCCTCTGAGTTGCTATCAAAAGCACTGAAAGAAAATTCTGTAGTGTTGATTACTTATAGAAGTTATGCTGGAATGCACCTTGAAACTCGCTTTGTTGTGCATAAATATGGCAGCCCTAAAAAGAAGTTTTAAGTAGGGCAGGAAAAAAATCTCATCTTTCAAAGCGTACATATTTTAAGTCTTAAAATAAGATTAATTTTTTAAGGTGCATGGAGTCAGATAGATGTTCTTGATAAGTATTGTAAAGAGATAAATTATGCATGACCACAGATTTTTTTTTATTATGCCAAAGCACATTGCACTTAATAGGAAGGATGTCTTTATGAAGAAGTCTTGAAAGTAAAATGGTTCATATGAGGAAGATCATGAAAACTTCCATGCAGTCAGCTTTTTTGTGAGTATTCATATCTTGGTGAAACTATCAATGGCTAGTAGTCTTATCATCTCAGCCAGTGGTGAGCTAAAGTAGTGATTCAATTTCCAGCTAAAATCTTAACTGTAATATTGTGTAGCACTTACATTTGCATTTTAAGGCCCAAATGACATTGTTAATGTCCTGTATTGAAGAAAGGGAAAGAGTTAACACTATTTCATTAAGGGAATATACTAATTTTCATATAAAGATATTATTTAAATCATTGTGAAAGAAATTTTATCATGTAAAATGATTTATAAATATGAAAAATATAAAATTCATATTAGGCAGCAAAGTTAGCAGTTTTATATGTGAATTTATATTTGTTTCAATATATGCACTTAGTATAGTTTAAATTCTGAATTACTATTAAGGTAAAGTTTTATTCTAACGAAAAATTATGAATTTAAATATGTTTATAATTTGTATCAATTACAGAGTTATTTACTTTAATTTGTGACTAATCAGTAAATCTGAACTTCATCAGTCTAAAGTGTTTTTTTACATTTTGTGCAAATAAAAGTGAATTTCCTGTGTTTAAGGTCCTGATGGAGAAAAAGGAGATGAAGGACGTCCTGGCTCACCTGGTCCACCTGGCTTGGATGGTATTCCTGGTATTCCTGGAAAGAAAGGTGAAGCTGGTAATCCAGGTTTGCCTGGGTTCTTTGGACCTAAGGTATGTATTTAATGCTTAGTTTTTATCAATGTTTAACCTTTTACAAAATTTAAGAGCCTTATTTATATATTTAGAGACATGGCAGTGTGTCAGCCAAGTTCAGGACAGACGGAAATGAAAACAGTGAGACACTAGCCATGTGTATCTCACACAAACCATTCTGAGCTAAAATTTTAAAAAGAAAACTTGAATCTATACTTTTAAATAAGATTTGAACATTTATATTGTTTAATAATTAAAAATAACTGCTTAAACTTATTGTTTACATTTTTATGTCCCTTTAAAAATCTAAAATTTCAAAAAAATTGCTTAGCACACCTAGCTTATGAAAGGACCTATTTTTATATGATGAATTAACAGTTAACATGCAGCAGAAAACTGATCAACAGTCTGGCGAAATGCTGAATCATATAAGACTAGGTGTAGTAACAAGCCAAGATGTAAATGCTTTATCTAATAGACTTCTAAAATTAAAATCCCTAAACCAAAGTAAATGGTTAATTGAAATTATAAATAATTTTTCAGCAATGCTTGACACTATGATGTGTTTGTTTGCCGCTAAAAATATGTGTAACCAGTTCAATAATGCAATGTTATTAAGTATGGAACAGGCAGAAATCAGATTAGATACCATAGATAAAATAGACTGCCTGTGGAGCTTAACTAAATGAGGAAGGGAAACTTTAAAGAAAAATGGGGATGATTCTTCAATAACTGCAGGTTTAGAAAATGCCATCATGGTCAAAATAGGAGCACATGTAATTCTGTCTAGGAATATAGATGTTAGCAAGAGGCTTCCATCGAGTGAAGAAATAGAAAAAATACTTTGAGATGTTGACAACCATAGTAAAGCAAGAAAAATTTTAATTAAATTCAGCCATAACATAACATATGAGTTAGAATGAGTGAAGACTTATTTTCAGATAATGAATAATGCATATATTTACCGAAAACAATTTCCTATTTGCTTGGCTTATGCAATAACAATCCACAAATTACAAGGCCTTAGTCTTGACAGCACGTTGCTCAGTATAGGTTCTTCAATATTCAGCAAGAGGCTGGGGTATGTTGCTCTCTGTTGAATTAAAACCATAATGAGATTTATCTCATTAATTTAGATCCAAGACAAATTAAGGCTCAAGAAAGCTCTATAGTAGGGCACAACCGCCTGCAAACATTTATACTGTCCCAACTTGGCAACTGTGTCGATAAATAGAAAACCTGTCAAAGACCAGACACTGAATAGGCTACATGCTCTAACATTTCCACCGTTATGGAAAATATAGAAACTGCTAATAAAAAGAAACCAGTGCAGCATAAATGCAACATTTCCACCATTATAGAAACTACAGAAATTGCTAATAAAAAGAAACCAGTGCAGCATAAATGAAAAAATAAATTGGTCACATATTTGTTTAGACTTTTTTTTTCATTTAATAAAAAATTAAGCATTTTTAAATTTCATGTAATAAAAATTTTATAATTTTTTTATTAAATGAAATTAATTTATAAATCTTTTATAAATTTTATCATTTAAATGATCAGACATGTATAAAAAATTTTATTAAATGAAAAAAGTCTTAACAAATATGTGACCTTCAATTTTAAAATAAACTGCAAATTTATAAAAAAAAAAATGTTATTTCATTTTCATAAAAAGAAAGCAGTGCAGTGTAAACGCAAGGAAAAAAAAATGTCTAAACAAGTATGCGACCTTCAATTTTAAAATAAACTGCAAATTTATAAAAAAAAAATTATTTCATTTAAGTGTCTAAATAAGAACATAATCTTTAATTTAGCTTTTCAAAAATTAATAGTATTATAACATCAACATAAATGTGAAAAAGGGACCAAGTTCGGGAGAAACGTTTGGTGTAGTTGATTTCACCAACAAAAGAGTCAAGATGTAATGGGTGGCAAGTTCCATAGCAGTTCCTTTACTCATAGCTATAGGAAGAATATACAATGTTCTTAAATTCTTTTATATACCACCCCTGAGAAGGTTAAGCAATGAACAATAGAACAAGGGAAATAGTAACAAGCTTTTAGTAAACTTTCATTTCCAGATGATCATGTGTAAATAAAATTTAATTTATTTATAAACTTTATGGTTAAGTATTAATTAAATGCTACTCCTTTTTATTATTCTATTTTTCCATACAATGGACAATGATAACTGTACATGCTCATGTACACATCCATTCTCATGCTATAATTTTAAAATACTGCATCGATTGTTACTATACTGTCATATAGTATTTTGGATTCACAAATCAGTAACAATCACAAAATTTTTGCAACATGCAACATGCAACTTTAGAATTTTTGATAGAATATTAAGTGTTGCCATTCATTTCTTTTTATATTCACTATATTATTTCTTTAAAAAGAATGCATAGTGATAACTTTTTATTTGAAAAGTTATCTGACACAAAAGCGACATGAACAAATTGAGGATTGAACCTAACACATTAAATTGCTTCATAACAAGAGGTTATCTTCATAATGAGCTTATTCTCATTGCTTAGCGGAATTACATGAATGCATTTAATGCTTATAAATGTAATATGTTGTTCTCAGTCTCGTACCTATTTTAAATATCAAATTTGAGAAGCTTCAGGTTATCAAATAATATATATATATAATATTTATTTCAAGTCCATTTATAGTTTCAAATAAAGTATTACTTCCAGTTTATTAGTTTCAGCCAAAATCTAATATGTTGTTTCCATTGTCTTAAATTCTAAAGTTGAAAAGGGAGTATATTTTAATATAGTTTTTTTATTAAAAACTGTTATAGGCTTCCTGTAAAGTGCCACTTCCGGTTGTTCAGTTTTACGCAAAATCTTATCAACTAATGAGTTGATATAATTTTAAATGATACAAAAGTAAAAAGCTTAAATACCGAAAACAGAAATATTTGAATGTTTCATATAAGAGTTACTATGGACAAAAGAATCAGACAAAGACAGCTAGATATCATTCTAAAAATAGAAAAAATGTGGTGTGGGGACCTTAATTCATATCTATTCACTGAAAACCCATTATTGAATTTTTGGACTGAAAACATTGTCTCCCTTTTGTATGTATATAGATTTGAGGGAGGTAAAAATAGTGAATGTCTTTTTTTCATTTTGATGGAGTTTTCAAGTTCATGTATGTTTCTTAGGCTCAGAGTCCTGCTAGTGTGAGCAGACCTTTAAAGGCTTCAAGTAAAGTATCATTTCTGTTCTTCCAGTTTTACCTAAAATCTAATCAACTCTTTATATGAATGTAGAAAGCTGAAATAATAGAAAACAGAAATTTTGGAAGTTTCATGTAAGAGTATATTATAGCTGAAAAAATCTCTCATGCACATACCATTGTAAAAAAGGAATGGGACTATTCACTTTTGCCTTCGTGCCATTTTGCCTTTGGGCCAGTTTGCTGTCAAGCAAATTCGCTATCGAGACATATTTTCTTTATATGCCTATATTATATTTATTTGCTTGCCTATTGTATACGTCTGGCTGTTTTAATCCTCCGAGCATTACGGGTTTAGCCCTAAAATTTCAAAGTTCCTCAAAATGTCATGAATAAGTGGTATTTTCTTGATTTTAATTAAAAAATTACTCTTTTATGTTGTACCTTGATTCCTTTTCTTCCAATATACATCCAAATTGAAATCAGTTACATTAAAAGCTAGCAGAAATTTTCATGTATAAGGAATATAAAAGGCAGCCTTCTTTATGGAATTTTCCGGCCGTAATGCTGAGAGGGTTAAATTTTGAAAGAAAAAGCTTTTGTAATAAAGCACATCTTCTAGAATTACTAAAATATAGTAAAAGAATAAATTCATTAATGATATCCTTTATTTAATGGAAATAAAATCAATAACTAAAAGCATTCATAATTAAGAGGAAATAGGATATAATTGTAAAAATAATATATAATAAGAAAAAGTTTTTGTAATGAAGCACATCTTCTAGAATTATTAAAATATATTAAAATAATAAATTCATTAATGATATTCTTTATTTAATGGAAATAAAATCAATAACTAAAAGCATTCATAATTAAGATGAAATAATTGTCAAAATAATATATAATAATGAAATAAAGCATAATATTAAAATTAAGCATAATATGATTAAAATTAAGCATAATACCATACAAAGTCCGTAATCCGGATTCATCGGGACTTCAGTGATTCCGGATTAGGGGTTTTTATGGATTATAGATCATCAATTTAAATCTGGTAAGATGGCATGCAGAAATTATACAATTGAAAATATGAAACTGTAATTTATGAAATAAAGAGCAATTATGAACTAAAGGGTATCGGAACTTGCAAAAAAAAAAAGCTTAATATTTATTTGTTTACTTTATTAAACATTTCTTTCAATATAAGTTGTTTAAGTTGCTTCGTTTTTAGTGCTAATATTTTAATTCTATAAACAGACGTAATTTCGTGTTCAGTTACAAAGTTCCACTGTTCAAGTCCTGTAATTGCTGTGTTGAGAATACCGACTAACTTGTCAATTGAAATTTTTTTGTTTTCAGTAACATTCTCTGTTACTTTCTTCACTATCAGAAGCACACATGGGTAAACGCTTTACTGGCTTTACGTGCATGCGTAGTGGACATGCGCATCAAGCGTGAATGCGTAAGTTTGTGGCTTTGAGGTCCGGATTATAGATCATTCCGGATAATGGACGTCCGGATTACGGACTTTGTACTGTACCATACTTATTAAAAAAGGAAATTATTTTGAGATTTAAAAATAAATCAAATCAAAACAAAACAAATTACATACAGAAATTTGCTCTGCAACCAAAGTTATGATAAAGCATCTTTTTTAAACTTCTGCCATTTAAAGAACCACATGGTTTTGTTAGCATTTACATATTAGCAAATTCCTCACATTAAGACCTTTTGAGTAATGTATAAATTGCTTTTGTTTGCAACTTTGGCGTAACATAAAAGTTAACTTATTAGTCTATCTGCCTGTTTATTAATTTTGAGAGATTAATTAATGTGCTAACAAGATTCCAAAGTGATTCCATTTTTATTAAAATTTCATAAAAATATTAATTTTCTGCTTGCATGAGTGATTCTTTGAACTGGCATTAAAATTTCAAGAATTTTTTTATGAATCATCTAAATACTGTATCTGCATAATTTTACAAACAATAATAATATCTCAAGAGATTTAGCCCATAATTGTGAAATGTTATAATTTTGTTGTATTTGATACTGACATAATTTTCTAAATAACTCTGTAATTTCTTTATATCCCATATTTGTGAACTTGTAATTATATATATTTTAAATAACCTTTACTGCATATTTCATTTCTACTTAATGACAAAATGGCCCAGGGCAAATCAACTGTCGATGATTCATCCTGTCAGTGGAAGAGCGACAGTCGAAAGTCTTAGATCATTTTTAAAATAGTAAAAACATGTTGTGAGGACCCTAATTTATGTTCATTCACTGAAAAACTCAGTACTTTTCCGTTTTGCTGGCGCAAACGATAAACTCACCAACAGTGGTACAATTGATGCTAAACTAAATATCCTCGCTGGTAACCTATTACGCCTCATATTCAAAAGAATTCGCAGCCATTTCTTATCATATTGATTGTTTCTTTCAATACTGGCATACAATTACACAGAATTTTTACCAGATAGTTCAATTTTATGCCCTAAGGACATTCGCGGCAATTAAATCAATTAGGATGCAATTACACCGCTCACCCGAAGGTGAAAATATAGAAAAGCAAAGGGGTTAAATTCATCAATTCTAATGAGGATGCACTAGTGAAGTAAAGCACTGTGGTTTTACATAATTTCTGGGTAAGCTATCCGTACGAATTGAAATAATTCTTGCATTTAAACTTGTATTCCAAATTAAGATTTAACTTGAAATTAATGTAGGTAATTAATGAGAGAATTAGATTTTTGTAGTGTAGTTTACGTGAGATGAGATAGCTTGGGATCACGTGATATGAACCGGCAAATCAGGATGTTGAACCATGAAAGCATAGTAAATTCTTAAATTAATGTCTTTTTTCAAATTTATTGTCTTTATTTATTGGCGTTTTACAAAATTTTTATGCCTTCAAAATACAAAATTCTTAGAATTAACATTTGCTAACATTTTTTTTATGTGTATACTGTATGTTGTCGTCAATAAAGTCTGCTTGGCGAGATTTGCGCCGGTGAAACGGAAAAGCATCAAAACCTCACTATTAAATTTTTAGACTGAAAACATTTCCTCTCTTACATATGAATGTAGGTTGGTGGCTGGTAAAAAGTCTCAGTTTTAAATTTTTATTCAAATAATAACCTAGTATCTTAACATCAAGAGTGAAAATGTTATCAGGTTTAGCATATTTTAACCCATTAACCCCCAAAACTACAAGGAATGATTCTTTTCTCGTGAAAATAATGACAAATATTAAATTAAGAATTTATAACATAAATTTACATTGAAAATAAAAAAAATATGCTCTTACCTTTGGAAAAAGCGAGTGTTGCATTCATGCAACATCAGCACAATAAGACTATGGATGTTTAGTGAGTAGGATTGTATTCGTGTGATGTTTCGAGTGGAGCACTGGATTACTTTTTAACTGTGTAACATTTTATAAATCTACAAATCGCTTTACTTCTAATTAATTTAATATTAAAATGTAAATTATATTTCTTTTACAAATACAGATTATTTCAATTAAAAGATTCAAGCATAAAAAGCTTCATTACAATCATGATGCAAAGCTATATTACATACTTTGCATCTATAAGCGGTCTAGCTACGGCACTCATTACAATGAAGTTTTTTGTTAGAGTTTACGATAGAATGTCTACCATCTCCATGCAATAGTTTTTGAATGCTGAATTTACTATGTTTTTCCTGTTGTTGATCTATTTCTGGCTAATTCTACACTCTCAGTAGGAGTTTGCAAAAGGAATAATGCAATCTCACGTCTGAAATCTAAAAAGAGACTTTTTATTTTCAGTAGTAGAAAGTCGTGATATTTTCATACATTTATCAAGGCTACATCAATGTAATTAGTAAATATTGGCCACCACCATTTTTTGCCATTAACTCTTATTCTGTAATTGGCTACTAAATTGTGACATAAATCGACTCCACCCATTTTGGCATTGTATTGTTCAATAAGATGAGGCTGAGATATAAAAACCTTTCAATTTCCTTTGCATTTTTGAATAATGGGAAACATTTTTTTATGGGCTGAATGTTTCCAAATTTTGAACCAACAGATAAACCGAATTGTTGTTCCATCAGACGAAAATTATTTTGTTTTTCTCTTCATACAAAAAATCGTAATAACCCATATCTTTCTTACGGACACATTCACAGTTTCTAGTAGGCACATTTGTATGTGGTTTTCCTGAATTGTTCCTGTAGCACTGAAACCCTTATTTTTTAGATGACGGAGAAGCTGAAATGATGTAAAAAAGTTATCAAAATAAATAGCGTGATTGGTGGGAGTTTCAACAACACTGAGCAAATTTATCACCACACTTCCTCCAAGCCCAAATTCTTCATATTCTGGTAATTTTGGAGCTGTTTACCTGATTAAATATTGAAATGAAACACATATCTTATCTTAAACACATCACATAGAGTCCATGCTTTGTATCCAAATCTTCTATGTTTCCATTTTAAAAACATCTTTGCTGAATGTTTGCCTCGATAAGGAATCATTTGCTCATCAATACTCAGATCGTGGGAAAATATACCAAATTATTGGAATTTCTTATTTAGTAAGTATAGATACGGTCTCACCTTATATAATTTATCACTATTGTCAATTTGACTGTTGTCAGCTAAATGCAAATTCAACTTCATATTCCTGTACTGCAAACGTGACATCGATTCTCGTACAATAGGAACAGAAATGTCCTTATCAAGACATACATTACATTTATACATTTCTTCTTGAGGTAAAGAATGATATCCCATTAGCAATAATATTCCAATAAATCTCCTCATATAGGCTTCAGATGCAAAAAATTCTGGGCGATCCCCCCCCCCTGAGCATATATTTGTCTGTTCAACGAGAAAAGAGTAAAGTTCTGAACCAAACAGAAAATTGAAAATCTCTCCACTAGTTTTGCCTCGTGTTTTGTCTTTTATAGTTTCTCTTCTACTTCTTTCTTCATTTTCTTTCTGAGACATAACTGATGGTTCCTTTTTTATCCATTTCAAGTTTTCAGTTTTCTGCTTTTTAAACTTTTTGTATGACTACCACTGCTTTTAGAAGGCTGAAACTTACTTCTTATGCAAATTTCAACTTCCCCAGCAGTATCATTTGGTAAAATATCATTATCATTATTTATTGTCATTCCCTTCTTCTTCATCACTAGCTTCTGCAATTTCTGGGAGAACAACAATATCAGTTTCATTCTGGTCATTATTAACATTATCATCATCATCTGTTTCTTCATTAAAAAATCTTTGAAGGACTTCTTCTAAAGTAAGATACCTCGTTTTAGGCATTTTAAAAGCAGCCAGAACATCGAAAGGAATGAGTGAAAAAGGAGATTACCAGTTTCTTGCATCAGTTCAATGCCTGTTTTCTCTTCCTTCCCAACACAAATGTAAACATCTGATTGATGTGATGTTCATGGTGACCTTGACTAAAAATAGATCACTTATAAAGACGGCGATTCTTTCGTTAAATATTTTTGGCAAAAATACTGGTTGAAAATTTTACTTAAAGTATGAGATTAATTATTATAAACAAAATGATTGTTGAAGGCAAATATTTTCTTATAGAAATAATCTTCGTAATATTCCCTACACAAAATCATCTACTGGTATAAAATGTCTTAGGTACTTATATCTATATATACATTTATTTTAACCATTGTGTGAACGCAACACCAGCGGCTAATGGGTTAAATATATATCTGTCTTGACTAAAAATTAATTTATGGTTTTATTGTTTTGTAGTTTGAACTAACAAAAGGATATTTTTTGCAGGGTGAAAGAGGACTTGAAGGATTACGCGGGTTTCCTGGCTCAAAAGGTGACAGAGGTCTTCCCGGTTTTCCTGGAGCTGATGGATTTCCAGGTGTTAAAGGCATCCGAGGTGATGACGGCCCTAAAGGTTAGTTATGAAATGTTTGGTCTGAAAGTCAAATTTGTGCATACCTATTTTATTTAGGAAGCAACAATACATGATTATACACATTAGTGTATCTCCACTAAAGTAGATATGTCTAATAGAGTGAGAATGATTGCAATGCCTCCTAGTGTAAACTTAGAAACAATATTTGCAACTCTATACTGAAGAGAGATACAATTAAATGGGCAGTAGCAAAGCTATATGCCATTATCTAATTACTATCAGTTGACCAACAGAAATGCACTAATATGCAGAAATTACTATTTCATAAGATATTAATAAATTAGAGAATATGTTACGTAGGTACTAGTCTAGAAAAAGATGAATTTCTTTAATCATTTGTAATGAATACCATATTTGATTAGATTTTCAATATATGTTGAACTATTTGAACAAAACGAATTCCATTTTCTACTATTACTATTTTTTTGTAGTTGTTGTTACTAGTGTTAAGGATTAACTATTGCCTAAGCAGTGTTTTTCTGCAAGAGTAAATCTTTCAGTTTTGCACTACATAATGTTTTCTCTTCCCACCTTTTTTCTTTCTTCCTTATCATATATTTGTGTATTAATATGAATGATTTATGAAAAATCATTAAAGTGACAAACTTAAAGCAATAAAATGCATTGCAAAACAAATCATTTTGACCACAAGAAGAAGCAATACCTTTCAGAATAGTAAATGCTTTTTCCAAAGGGGCTGGAATAAAGCATAAAGGCTAACTGATCATTTAGATGCTAACTATGCCTCCTAGAAGCATTTCTGGAAGATTTCACTCAGCAGAAATATTATTATCTCACTATACTAAATTATTCTAAAAGCTTGAGGTAATTTAGATAGCCTATACCACGGGTGGCCAAAGTGCGGCTCGCGAGCCTGATATGGCCCTCGCAGGCAATTTGTGTGGTTCATGCATATAAAATATATGTATGAAATATGGTGAACTAAAGCCTATACCACGGGTGGCCAAAGTGCGGCTTGCGAGCCTGATATGGCCCTCGCAAGCAATTTGTGTGGTTCATGCATATAAAATATATGTATGAAATATGGTGAACTAAAACTATTCAGTGTCCAAAAGGAAGTAATTAATTAGTTAAGACTCTTTTTACAAAGTTATCAGGGATTTCTTTCTATTTAAAACCTCCTCCACTACTTCTATAATAATGTAAATATGAACTTGTGGCTTTTAGAAAATCTAGATGCAGCTCTCGAACATTCCTGAATTCAAACATGCAGCTCTCGAACATTCCTGAATTCAAACATGCAGCTCTCGAACATTCCTGAATTCAAATATACGGCTCTCGAACATTCCTGGATTCAACATGCGGCTCTTACTGACATGAAGTTTGGCCAACCCTGGCCTATACTGAAAATATTGCACTTTGTGTACAAAATAACTCAGAATGCTCTCTTCTTTGGTAGACCTAGATATTTGATATGTGAGTGATTATAGAAGTTTTGCATTTGGATATATTTTATCATTTAAAGCCTGAGCACTGGGACATAGAGTAAGGCATATGAATGAACACCTTAACAGTGTGTGGAACATTTTGATGCCATGATGATTGTATTCATCATATACAATATGAATATGATTAGTTAAGATTATATTAATGCTTTTGTTGGTGGTTTCTAGAAAAGAATTAGATTTGATGGCTTTATAACTTGTAGCCATTGTTTCAAATGCATTATAACAAATAATAATGCACCTTCATGTGGTTATGTGAGCAAAAATTTTTTAGCTGAAAAAAAGTGTTTATTTAACCATCAAGGTATGAAGTTGCCTTTCTAAGAAGAGATTTTTCTAACTTCAAAGAAATCATCTTAAAAAATTGTCACCTTCCTCATTGTACTGCTGAAAGAAAATTAAAGCATTACCTAAACGTTTGGTTTGTGCACCTTTGTCAACATTTTCAGTACCCAGCGTGCACATAGCTTTCAATAATTTTAGCATTCACTCACAATTTTATACAGAACACTATGAAACCTTGGGAAAGTCATCAAATACTGACAAAATCGTAAAGTGTCTGTTCTGTTTCACTTGTTCTTCAACTTTCTGCACCAAATAAATCAAGGATTTCCTCTTTGTTCATTGTCATGAATATTCATGCAGCCATTTTTAAAAGTTGTAACCCATTTCTGTCCCATTCCATCCTCATAATGTTTTCTTTGTACACTTTACTAATCTGACGATGAATTTCAGCTGCTTTCATGTCTATGTCATTAAGAAAGCAAACCATCGATTATACTTCACATTTGATTCTCAGTTAAATACTCAAAAACAATTGTTTAAATAGTCAAAAGTTTCTGTAATGGCACCTGTGGCTTGCTAACATGGAATGCTGCCACACCAGAATTTCAAAATGGTACTTACTTTAAAAGCATGCCTCATTTATTTCTTGAAATTGAGCAATATGTGCAGTACTTTTACATCATTTTGTTATATGTATACCTAAATCTTAAATGAAACTGGTGACATAGATAGATTCTCTTTCTTGTTTATAGTAATGTAATTAATATGCATTATAGAGATGTCCTCCATTCATTTCATAGTAAATTATTAAATAATTCTGCATTGTGAAAAATTTACAAACTAATTTTTATTGAATATTTTATAAAAAAATTTCTAATCAAAATCCATAATGTAATTTTCTATCATGAGAAAAATTTATATATTTGTAGAGAAAACTGTTATAAAGTTGTTAATTTTTTTGTTTAATAAAGTTTTTTATTTAGATTTTTTATATATATGTATATAGGTTTTCCTTCAGCTACTGAAAATAAAGGATTACCAGGTAATCCTGGATTGCCTGGTCTTCCCGGTTTCCCTGGTGAAAGAGGTGATGATGGAGCTCTTGGATTACCTGGATTCAAAGGAGATCCAGGTGATCCTGGATTAGATGGAAGACCTGGAACTTTGGGTAGAGAAGGACCAAAAGGTATTTCTTTTAGTTGGTTGATATATCTGCTTGGTGTGTATTTTTTTCTAAATTCAGGTTTAATATTAAATATTTTATTTAGGAATATAATGTATATTTTGGAAAAGGAATCATACTTAAAATTTACAAATATATATATATATATATATATTTCCATGGTTAAACAAAACATGCCACTTTCAATTTTAAGAAAATCTCAATCATTTTTTTAACACAAAATCCAAAGTTAATTAGTAGGGCCCCAAAAGTACTTTAAAAATACCAAGCAATGCTTTCTTAAGGTTATGTTATACACAGTGTCATAAATATTGTTCACACATTACAATAATGTGCTTGTATTGCTTTGAATTACTAAGTTTTTTAAGCAATACAATTATTATTTGAAATACAAATTAAAAACCTTGTATCACATTGAATGGCAACACTCAACTATTTTGAAGTTCCACATGATTATCTAACGATTCATTTACGCATATTTTTTCTCATAGCATTGCAGTTGTTCTTTCAATTAATTTTTACTTATAGGAAGGGATTCCAACTACATAATCATTACTAAATAAAACTTTTTCTGTACTCCAAGTTTTCTTTTCTCACTACGTTTAATGAAATTTTAATGATTAAAGCTCTTCAAAGAAATTTGAATGTTTGTCACTTTTAGTACTAAGCAAAAGAAATTTTAAATCTTTTTTTTTTTTTTTTTTTTTTTTACGTATTGGATAAATATTATTTTATAATTATTTTTATTTTGCCATATTCCGTCAATTTGAAACTCTGCTAAAAAATGTAAAGTCATATAAATAACATTAGTTGATACTGCAATGAACTGAAAGTAATAATTGTAATCAGTAATTCGTAGCAGTTTCTCAGATATTTGTAGTTTTGAGGTTACCCTCCCCAATCAAGATATATTTTTTCATTTGAATTTTAAAATATTTTGTTTACTAATTTGTATGTGACTTTTAAATCTTTCATGAATTATTGATGATTTATAACTATTCTTATTTTTTATACCTAGTATAAATTTTAGTAGATCCTTTAATTTATTGATGGCATTATGGTTTTAGCATTGGGTCATCCGAAAAGTTCTGTTATTTTTCAGATCTCAGCACATTTCCTTCTAATTATTTTATTACTACTGTTAAAGACTGACTTTGATCAAAGCAGATATTTAAATACAGTAATTCTAGCTTGTGTGTACTTGCTTGCATCATATAATTCTAGCTTGTGTGTAATTGCTTGCATTGTATAATTCTGGCTTGTGTGTAAATTGATTGCATCGTATAATTCTAGCTTGTGTGTAAATTGCTTGCATCGTATAATTCTAGCTTGTGTTATGACGTAATTTTTTTAGTGCACTGCTATGAATGAAAACCTAAAAAATTCATTTTTGTCATATTATACTATTTTACTTTTAAAAAGGAAAAAATTACGCTATTTTATTTTAAAAAAGGATTGCTTTATATATGGACAAAGTGCTGTATCTAATGATGCAGTTCGCAGATGGTTTGAGAAATTTTTAAACCTGGAAGCTGATGCTGGCTCTCGATGACCATCTTCTGTAAACAAGGGCCTATTAAAAGAAGCTATTGCTAAAAATCCGCATTATAAAATTTAGGAACTATCAGAGAGAATAGTATTTTAGAATATTCAGAACTAAGTATTAAAAAAAATACAGTGTATGATAATCTGAAGAAGATTGGGTATATAAGCTGCCATGTGTATGAGTACCTTATACTTTAACAGAGCAGAATAAGCTTGCTTGAGTTTCAGCATTTCTTGAGTTTGAGAAAAAGATAACGGGCTGGACCAAAAGAACCTTTAGTAGGAAGAGTTATCAAGAAAAGGACATTCCAGAAAGTAATAATTTTTGCAGGATGGGTTTACAAAGAAATCGTACATTATAAATTGTTCTCATCAAATCCGGCAATAAATTCAGAAAAGTACTGTTCCAAGATGGCATTTTTAAAAGTAGAAATTCAAACAATGTGCCCAGAACCGACCAATAATCGAAGTGATGATGTCTTCCATCAGGACAAAACTTATCCCCACATGTCTGTCAGTATCAGATAAAGATGGTATGGGTGGTATATTTTGTATCACCATCCATATTCATTACATTTTGGTCCCTCTAGTGTGAATTTTTTTTTTAAAAATTCTGTTATGCTGTCTGCAGGAATCACAGAATGGATCTTCTAATATTATATGTGCATGCTAATTAATAATATACATGCAAACCAGAAGTACTGCACAACAAATTTCACACCAGCAGAATGCCATAGTTCTGTATATTAATAAATACATTAGTTAATGAAATATGTTAATTTATAACCAAACAGACAATTTTTTAAATTTATAAATCGTAAATAAAAGCATTAATTATTGTTTAAAACAATAAAATGGGTGCAATTTGAGTGGATGAGTGAAAAATAGTCAATATCTTTTGGCTGAGATTGACATCTGAATGAACATTATTTTTTATAACTTTAGATCTAAAATAAAATTATAAATCATAAAATACATTAAAAATTTAAATTGATATATTCATTTTATTTGTGTTAGTGTGAAGATCATCAGGAGGTAGGTAAACCTTACACTGATACAATTGCCATATCTGGCCCACTAGATATGTTTCTATTCATCCCAATGAGAAAGGTATCAAAATTTATTCTTAAAATTATATCTACCTCTAAAAGTTCAGAGACATTACCCCTATATATCCAGCTTGCCAAAATTAATGCAAATATAACAGTGTAAACAATATTCAAAAAGAAATTCAAAGTGACAGAAAATTTTCATTGGGTATTTTGCATAAAAATGACAAAATGGCTCAAAACAAAACTTTATACAAGAAAACTGTAAACAAATGTGAGCTGCAACTGGTCACTCAAATGTTAAACAATCTAGAATTACAAAACATAAATCAATGTTTAAAAATTTGCATCTAAATTCAAAAATTATGAATATGAAACAGACCCAAATTTAAATTTAGCTTCTTCTAAATGACCATTGAAAGAATGTGGGAGGATAAGAGATTGTCTGTAGTTAGGTAGAGCAAGATTATTATTGGCCACTTTTAATCTTGCTCAGCTATATTGGCCAAAAATGTTGTTATTTAAAGTACTTAAATAAAAACTATTAAAAAAGTGTAATTTAAATTCTGGTAAAAAGTTAAGAAAAAGGAAATATGAAAAAATAGAACAGAGTAACAGTTCTTCGTGCTCTTTTGGCTGTAACAGTGACTTTCAGAAAATTGAAATGGCCTTGTTATTCAACGTTAGAGCAAGAATGGTAGAAAATTCAAAATACAAATATACACAGTAAATTATATATTTTATAAGTTTTACATACTATTTTCTCGTTCATTCACCTTATTCCTCCTTATAGTTTAAAAATGGGCTTCATTATGTAAAAAATATTCATATTTGTAGATGGCATTAGCTTTTTCAATAATTTCTTTAAAAAAATATTGAGGAACTCGAATATTAGTCAATGCTTGTAAAAGCATTAAAATTTCTTGTTGCTGTTGCAACTTCTGTGCAAATATTTTTATGCAAATTAATTGATTAAAAATAGCATTTCCTAAAACCTTTTTAGATGTATTACTGTTCCAATTAATTAGCTTAATTGATTGAAAATTGAAATTTGTTATTCTATCAAATAGTCTGACTTCTTGGTAATTAAGATGTTAAGATCCAGATAATCAACAGTCAACTGATCTGAGTTGGTCTTGCTAAGTTTAAGAAAAGGTTTAAATATTGCTAGATTTCAAATTAAAATTGTTGAAAGTAATGATATCATCAATACATCTATAGGTGTAAAAAAACTTTTTATAGATTTTCAAATATGAAAGTGAACATAGAAATCTGTATTCTTTAGTAAATAAGTAAAGATTATTTATTTGAGTAGACTGCTATAATCACATTCGCTAAATGGTAGGAGCACATCATGTTAATGTTAATGTTAATTTTTTTCTTCTTATATTCTTTAATATATTATATATCTCTCTCTATTTTATATATGTATATAAAATTAATAAAAAGAAAAGGAAAGTCGGAACCTAAATGATAGATTATAAATTTTTTCTTATAAAGGCTCTAATCAATTCTTTCTCACTGAAAGTCTTAACCCAAAAGGAATACGAGTAAAATTAAACTTCAAATACATATACAAAATCGAGAACAATAATAAAAAGTAATACAAAAGAGAACAATAAACAAAAATTATGTATTAATCTCCCGTGTTTAATGCTTCAAACAGAACTTATCAACGGAAGTATTTTGAAGCCTTAAACCAAGTTGATTAATGAATTTCGAATATATGTTTCATTCCTCTGAATCATTTGAGACTCAAAACCGCTATACTCGAATCAAATTTTAACATTAAAACAACATTTTAGTGGCTGTCATATATATATATATATATATATATATATGTATAATGACTTTCTTTTGCTTTATTTTAGGTTTACCTGGACTTCCAGGAAAGGCTGGAGAAGAAGGTTTTCCTGGACAATCAGGTTACAACTGTTCTAAATATATTTTCCCTTAATGTGTGCTATAATAACAGTATATTTTAATTAAATGTTTGAATGCTTTTGTTTCTAAACTTTTTTCAATTTATTCATGTTTAGGTGAAGGTTTTCCGGGAGATCCTGGAGCACCTGGTTTACCTGGATTTCCGGGGAGACCAGGAAGTAAAGGAGAATCTGGTGATCCTGGGCTACCAGGATTTCCTGGTATTAAAGGATTTCCAGGATTTAGTACGCCAGGCACACCAGGACAGAGAGGGCAACCAGGTCCAGTTGGTCCACCAGGTACTACTTTATTATAGATTATTTTCTAAAGTAAATCACTGAAAGGTAAAATCACTGAACACTGGTAGTTCTGACCTGGGTTCGATTCAAGGCAAACAGGCTGGGTGCATGGGTGTTTTCATGGTTTTTACCGTGTGTTTCCATTACTTTGATTGAATTATTTATTTATTATGTAGCATGCATACAAGCCACTTTCCATTAGAAAGTCCTCCACAAAAGCATCCCTCCCCTTAGGCAAATAACCCTAGTGTGCTTTGCCTTAATCAGCTCAAACAAACCAAATTATATCTGTAATTTACAATATTTTTTTTCTGTATTTAATACCATTTTTTATCTATTTGAGTTGTTTTAAATTTAAAATGACAGTTGAACTCAGTACAAGAACTCCAAAATTCAATAATTTGCTCATACTAGCCATTATTTGTAATATCTGTAAACTAATGAAAATGAAAAAAGAACCAGTATAAAAAAGTTGTACACACTATAAAACTACAAAATTTTAGCACCTTTTTAAAATGTACCTTAGTTTTAATGGCTTTTTTTTTTTTTTTTTAATGCAGGAATGAGGTGTTTGTATTTCTGTAATGTCTTACCATTTAAAAATATATAAAGGAATACGAATGTTTATCTGTCATTGGAAAGGTGATTAGATTGAGAATTATGCTGCAACAGCTAAAAATTTCTCACCTATTCAAAGCCTGTCACTTTTAATTTCTAAACTTACTAAAGAGTGTCATATAAAAAAGCTCCTGATAATAGAGAATGTTTCCTTTGTGTGATTTCATTCAAATGTTTACATTATAAATTCGAAGAAGGAAACTAATTCTAAGGACTAAATTCTGTTATGGTAATTTGTGTTGAAACAAATCCCCCCCCCTTTTTTTTTTTTTTTTTTTTTTTTTTTTAACTGTGAATTCTTGCTGATCACAGGGGTTAAGTCATTAACACATTTGTGCATATGGCAAAATCGCTTTCCACAAAGTTAACTTTCTTTGGAAAAAAGGGGGGTTAGGTATAGTTCAGATTAAGAAAGTACATATTTTCTAATGTATAATGGCATATACACATCTATAATTTCAAGCTATATTTTTTAATTTTTAGGTATATTCACCGTATAACATGCACCCAGTTTTTCACAGAGAAACCTAAAAGATACATATGCAATGCTCTTATCTTTTGAGGTCGAAGATTTGTCCTAGCCTTTCGAACAATGGTGTACTGCATTAACAAGCAATAAGGGGAACAATATGTGTGTGGGTTAAATGCTTGAGGGAGTAAATATTCCTGCAAAGAGGGTGGATTGTATTCAAGTCGGGTGTCCAGTGTACTCGTCTCGGGTGACAGTACGACTTCACTCCATTCCGCACCCAATTTTGATGGAGAAACCCCAGGGGGATAGGTCTGAAGGTCCTTTCTTCCATTTTTGAAAAGCCTTTGATACCTGTTACTTTTGCAATTTGTACAATTTCCTTGGTTCATTTTCAATCAATCAAAATCCTTTAACTCTTTTGCATCGAAGTCGCCCAAAACGCTCAAGCATTCAGACATCGGCTGGACGCCCGAAACGCCTGAATAATTTCCTACCCAGTGCTTTCCCCCATCATGTTACTGCATTACTCATTGCTTTCAGGTGTTGTTAAATCACATGTCAATCATTCTTTTTAAGCTACTGAAAGTAGCTTCCTTGTTTCCTTTGTTCCTTCCTTTCCTTTGTTTACTGTCAGTGTTTAGCTTTTGATGCCCGAAGTAGCAAACCCGTCCCAAGGGGGAACTTCACACAGTGTCAAAGCGTCAAAGAAAGAAGTTCTCGCTTTACTTAAGTAAGGCTACTGTTAGCGCTGTAGTATTCAACTTGTCGTGGGGGAAGGAAGGAAAAGCATTCCAGGAGAAATTCTTAGATACGGGCGTTTTCGATGTTTGGGGAATTGAGATTTTGCCCTCTCTCGATGCGAAAGAGTTAAATTTTTTAATAACTTTTGGTCACATCTGATACCAGCAAGCATTCATTTTTGATGAATTCACTTGTTCAATCATTTCTATGCTATATCTTATTTTGAATTGCTTCTAACGTACCATTTGTGTTATGCTTTCTGTCATCTAGAACTTTATATGCAGAGATGTAAACATGCCTGACATAATAATTTTTAAATATTTTTATGATTCCTTGATCCATTGGTTGGAATAAAGGAGTGGTGTTTGGTGGAAGAAATAAATCTTTACGTTTGTGTGCTATGTTGTGAGTGGTTCAATACCATGTCCTGAAGCATTATTGACAATTCAATACCATGTCCTGAAGCATTATTGACAATTAGGAAAACTTCAGAAACTTAGGTTTTGTTGTTCTTAGTAATATTTATGTTCTTTAGTGAAGGAATTTTCAACCAGTCATTAAAGAGGGCTATCACAACATGGTTGACATTCTGCAGCATACAATGTATAACTTAAATTTTCATGTTGAGCAGATTAAAAGGAGACAAGAAAATGCATATGTGCAGAACCATGTTCCACAAGTTTGTATTTGGCAAGGGTTTACTGTATAAGCCAAAGTATTTTTTTACATTGTTTAAAGGTATTGTAATTCTAATACAGTTGTATAATGAACCATCATACCAGAATTTATATTGAAAATAGTCAAAATGTTTTCTCGTATTAGTAAAAATTTACCCTTTTTTGTTTTGTTTTGTTTTGTTAAATGCATGAGAAACCTATTCTAATTAAATTCCAAGCCAAACTTAGAATATGAATTGCTTATTTTAGCCACTATCTCTTATTAACTGTGCTCATATTGAGAAAGTTCTGCTGTATAACTATTTCATATTAATTTTTCCTAAGATATATTTGTTAAATTGCAAACCAATATTTTAAATAAAAATTTATTAATTCTGTTCTTTCAGACTTTTACTATTTTTTTAAACTGCCCTATTTCATGAAAATAAATATATGTATATTTTAGAAATTATGCTCTCTACCAGGCTTGTACAAGGTACCTCAAAACTGTATACAGACTTTAAGGGAAAGGAGAGAGTATTGGTATTAACCATATTCACACAGAAAAGCATGGCCAAAAGTGCCACTCATAGGCTATCACCGGTGCCACTCACAGGCTGATATGCCATATCACAAAAACACAGCCAGAACTCAATACAAAAAGCACTACATATAAAGTATTTTATTAGATGAACCTTAACAATATAGCTGCTGGTACAAACTGAATACAGTTTCATGAGAAGTGTTCAAAGTTCTAACCATTGACAATGACGTATGCGTGACACCAACAACATATGGATTGTCAAAGATTTTTCAAAGATATCTGGAATATTGCAGATATTAGTATCACCTTTTTAATGATTGTTATTTAACCTGTTCACAAAAGTCACATCTGCCAACTCAACATTAATAAAATAATGCATGTTTTCCTTATGATGTTGCAAGCTTTAATAAGGAAGCCCCAGATGCTAGCCACTAGTGCTGGTGCTCAGCACTACCTATCCATTTCTATACTTTCCAGTGTATTGATGTTCTGAACCTCCCATTATACTTTGTACTTGGAGTTTTGAAACACTGTGTTTATTATTATCTAATGATAAAATTTATGAATGTATAAATTTTTATTTTTTAAGAAATTTTTTGAAATATTCATGAAAAGCAAAATAAAGCAACTGTACATAATTAGAAATTACTTTTATTTTTGGTTGTATAAAATGTGCTTTTAGTTATATATTTTGAGTTTTAACTGATTCTGTTCCCTTTTCAGAAGATTTTCTGTCAGAATTTTTTAAACCTTTGGCAATTACGAACAAATATTTAATTACTACCTAATATTTAATTACTTCATGTCTTTATAATTAAGTTTTTCAGTGGACCTGTTCATTTCTGAATTCGTTCCTGCCCCTAATGTAAACAAAGGAATACTCAAGTTTCAAGGCACTGTTAGTCTAAAGAAATAAAACTGAACTAGAAAATGTTAGAAACATTTGGAAATGTGTAAAGCCTTTGTGTTTAGAAGAATATATGATGCAAATATTTTGATCAAGAAGTAAAATGTAACTAAAATAGTACCAATGAGTTATATTTAATGTTAACCTGAGACTGGATATAATAGAAATATATATCTACCAAAGATCACAGTTCTATCAGTTTTAATAATTGTATTTTAAAAATTATTAAAGAATTATGAATATTGTTGAGACAAAAAGTAATCTGAAAGGAAAAGAGCTTAAGCATCAAACATTTTGTTAAAAAAATTTTCTTTAAAACTGTAATAGTGTATACGTCAGTTGTTCAATGACTAACAGGAAAGGATCTAATTTATAGCAAAACTGCAGATCACAGTGGCATCATCCTCTTTCTTTGAGAAAAACTATGAAACTTCCATTCATCTCAGAGTTCATATGGTCCTTAAAAGTCCTTAAGAGGCCTCAGGTTTTTTGGAAACAATTTTTTATCCTTAATTTCAGCCAGAATAGATAAAAGGTCCTTGATTTTGCTGATCTGACATTTGTTTCTTACAACTGCCATTTCAAGGGTGAATAAACATTTTGGGGGAATTTTTTCTAACAATTCATTGACAAGGATGTATTTTATAGGTTATCATTTGAAGTCATTCCTGCTTCTAATATAGACAAAGAAATACTGAAATTTCTAGGCACAAGACCCTACCTCATTTGAAACAAAAATTTTGAAATTGTTTTGTTTTTGCAATTGCGGAGTTCATAAAATATTACATCAAAAACAACTTTCTGCTTTTGGGGATATGAAGTCTTTTGTCTTGTCATGCAGTGCTAAATTTGGCAACTTATTGACATTTTGTCGATTTTAAGACCAGTTTGTGGATAAAATTTTTAATTTGGAGGTTTGCAAATTTTTCAACAATTTTTTTCAAATATTTACGTTGATAAATATCATTAAAATAATGATAATATTTTTAAATTGTATTTAAGAAATAATAGTAAAATAAAATATTGTCATTTTCCCCTGTCGTATTTTTAAGTGGTTTTACTTTTCATTTTTGTGACTTGAGAATATTTTGATGCTGAAAAATAAACAAGATAAGTGCTGTAAAGCAGAGTTTCTCAAACATTTCTTAACGAAAGCAAAAAAGTTGCTATAATAATTTTTAAATTAACTTCATTTGTATTCTTTTATATTTTTTCATGATAAGAGTTTTTCCCTCTGTAATTAAATCAGAATATTGAAATGTGTATCAGTTTGCTCTATTAAATTCATTTTGCACGTTTCTTTTTTGAATTTTTTTTTTTTTTTTTTTAAAGTCTTCTGGCTTTTTGCTGTAACAGGTTTGGTAGGGATAATTTTTCTTTGAAATTTTATACCTTGCATACTGGAATGTTTACAAGGATTTGAAGGTGAGATTTATAGACTAAAAAATTTGAGATTCCAGAAAATGTGACAAAATAAAAAATGTGTCCATGATATTAACTTGTAATGAACATATTTTACAGGAAGTATGTGATTAATTTCTTATTTTTGGAAAAACAGTGAAAACAAATAATTTTTTGAATTTTTTACTTTTGATCCTAGTAGTCTTTTTCTTAGCATGTTTATCTTTCCTTGATTTGCTTTTATTTTCACTAAATACAAGCATAAAAAATTGCAGAACTGTTCTATTCTGGGCAGTTAGACGTATTTGTGTAGAAAGGAAATTTGCTACAGTCAAAAGTCGTTAATTCGGACACCCATAATCCGGAATGATTATAATCCGGACCTCAAAGCTACAAACTTTCTGCGCATGCGTCGCGTTGACGGCTGCAAATATGCGTGTGTGCATGCGCATAATACGTTTACGCTTGTGCGTTAAATGGATAATGGACGGTATAAGCTAAGCTAAAATTATCTAATTCAGTTAATGTTGATTGCGTTGTTCCTTAATCTTCGAATTGGATCCGGCTTATTATTTTTTGCAGACTGTTAGAGCAATTTTATAAAAGTAAGCTTGAACTTTCGATTATGTCAAATAGAATTTCCGATATATATTTACTAATATGTAAAGGATCTACAAAGCGAAAGTATGTTTCGAAGTCCATTAAACAAAAAGTGGAATTGCTGCAAAAAATGGATAAAGGCATATCCTTCGTTTCTGTAAACATTCCGAAATCTGTTTATCAATTTCACGCTGCTCTGCGGCGGGGGGAACACCAAAACGCCGTGGCGTGCTATGAATTGGAGGTTAATCTGTCAGCACTATCCTTATCTTCAGGGCAGATGTTTTTATTTTATTTGGCTTATAATATCTTACTAAATGTAGTATTTCATCTCGATGTATATTTCATCTTTGATATGATTTAAATCAAATTCCTCGTCATTATAATTTGCTTCCGATGTTGTTTAAGTTGCTTTGTTTTATGTGATAATACTTTCTCTTTAATTCTATAAACAGACATAATTTCTTCTTCAGTTACAAAGTTCCGCTGTTAAAGTAAACAAATAAATATTAAGCTTTTTAGTTTGTAAATTTTGATACCCTTTAGATCATAATTGTTCTTTATTTCATAAATTATGGTTTCATATTTTTAATTTTATAATTTCTGCATGCCATCTTACCAGATTTAAACTGATGATCTATAATCCGGAAAAATCGATAATCCGGAATCGCCGAAGTCCCGATTAACGACTTTTGACTGTATTAATAAACAAATTGAAAGTTGACATACACATACACGGGGTTGGCACTAGGCATTTTGCTTCTTGGTGCAGTCTCTGTGGGGCCTAACTTCTGTTGCCCAGTGTCTGTCCTAAAATCTAAAACCTTTTATAGTTTGACCGTCTCAAGCGCAACCCATGTTGGCATTCTGCCAAAACACATAGACTCACCCAAAAGGGGCGGTATTACTTGCTGCGATGTGAAAGGTCTTCTCTTCTCCAGAAAGAGCTATGCTGGAGGGAAAGAAAGTCCCATTCTTCCACCCTATTTTAAGAATAATTCGGTCTGAATGGCGCATGCGGGTTTGCGCTCATGGTCGCAGATGAGGCAGTCGAACTGTACCATCTCTAAATTTTGCTGCAGAGTGCTTCACTAAATCCTGCCACACTGATTCTGGCCATACACAATTTAGTATTTATTCTCAATACAGCAGTATTTTTCTCAATAAAATTAGCAGTTTCTTCTATACATTCTAAATACATAGCTTTTTAGAGTAACAGAAGTCTTTAATTAAATCTGAAAAGTTTTAAAATGAAAAGGAAACTTATTGAGGAAGAAATTGATTACATGTAAGGAAAAATATTTGTTTTTCAAAGGTATATTGTTAAAATATTTAAAAATTGAGAGATGAAGCAGAAACTAGTGGGTAAATTGTTTTCTTTAATGCAGCAATAAACTTAGAAAAGATGCTAAAGAGAAGGAAATTTATATAAATTAAATATTTCGAAAATTTTCAAATTTAAAAAGATGAATAGATGTTTTGTTGTGTGTTGTTGCTATGAAGCATGCATGTTTCATAGCTTTTAATGTATAATATCCTAATATGGTTTTAGAATCAATATTATAAATTATATATGTAATAGTCTGTTATTTTAAACTGTAAAATGTTCTTAGATTATGATTTTAATAGTTCTGTCTTAATGAATAGTTTTTTAATAAAAAAAAATAATACTGGTAACAGAAATAACAGTACCTGGTAACGTAAATCTGTAACAACTAAGGGTAACTGTACCTAATTATTTGTAAATAACTGATCACCTTTAGAAATTATTTCTTTCCTTGTTCCTTACTGACGATGCATAATACAATACAAAATTATAAAAAGTATGTAAAACTTTATTCCTTACAGTTAATGAGTAAAACTTTATTCCTTTCAACTTAAAATAATGCAAAATAACTTATTACATTTGGTGCTTCACTGGCTTTTTGGAACTTTCAGTATGTTTACTGGTTTACAACTCTAGCAACACTCTGTGAAACTAGACACTAACTGCCTGAGATAAAACAAAGTGCAACTAACTTTCAATGTTGTCAGTGATTTTATGTCTCTCTAATTATGACTTTACTTCTCTTAACCTATGCCACTTTACATAAAATCTGCATAAACCACTGGGGACTGAGCAGGAACATGAAGAAACAAGATATAAAAGAAAGAGTCAACCTAAAGCTGACTGTTTGTAAATCTTAAATAAAATGTCACTAATTTTCTTTCAAATATGTAAGATTATTATAAATGTAAAATATAAATGCTTCAAGAAATTTTGTAGATCTGTTTAAGAAAATAGTTGAAATAATAAAATAAAAAGTTAAATAACTAAATAAATAAAGCACATGCTACAGTTTCAAATTGGATCTTATTTTGAGTACAATAAGTCTGTTTGTTATGTGCAGGTTTAGATGGTCTTCCAGGCATACAAGGTGAGCGTGGTGACGCTGGCCCTCCTGGTTTACCTGGTCTGATAGGTGATAGAGGTCTTCCTGGTTTATCACAGCCTGGAGAAATTGGTCCTATAGGATTGCCAGTAAGATTACATTTATGCATATTTTACGAAATTGCTACAGTATTAGTTTTCATTCATGTTTATTATTTAACAGCTGTATATCATTTTAGAGCTATTCTCTATATTTTTATACATTTCTTGAAATTTTTGCTGTATGCATTAAAAAGAAAAAAAGGATATAATTATTAAGAGCTATTGTATTCCTTAAATATATGTTAAGGAAGCTATAAAATATTGTATTACTATAAAAACATTAAGTACTAATGCTTTTATATAGCATTTTAAATGAATGTTTTAATAATATAGCATTCCAGAACCCCTATATTCTTTAATCTGTGTAAATTTTCATAGCCTGTTTTCTGAATGAAATTTAAATGTTTAGCTTTTGTTTGTTGATTTAAATTGGTGAAGTGTTATCTGTACTTTTTTTTAAGTGTGAAGAAATCTTCACTCTTCTTAAAGATGTACAAATTATGAAATGTGAGTGAAGTTCTGTACTTTATTTGTGCAAAAATTTGTACTTAATTACAGTTCTTATCAATATTGTCAAGAGTGTTAGTTTTAAAATATGTATTGTAAGCAATATTGACCTTTTCATTCTTTTCTGCAAATACTGGTATATGAATTTAATTGTGATAATGAAAAACAGTATTTTTATTAAATTTTATTCAGAATAGTATAAAATCCTTGTACCTGAAAATAAAATAGCTTGAGCAACATTTAAAATTAATATACTTGGGTGTGTATAAATAAGAATATTTTACATATGTACACACATGAGGTACTAATTAGAAACCTATTAGTGACATTTTGGGCTTCATTTAGCTTGAACTGTAACATGTATGCAATTAAACATGGATTCTGCAAGATTTGTAAAAGGATCTATATCCTTATGATACAAAGCATTTAAGAGATTTGTCTTCCAATTGCTCATATTGGCATTTTAAGTGTGAAGAAATCTTCACTCTTCTTACATTTTCACAACATTTTAAAATTTCTCCTGGACACTGTGTATTAAGCTTCAAACTTTGATTCTGTGTGGCCAAGGAAAATGTTAAAAGTTATGTTGAGGCTTTTGAACAATTTGGTGTGATAAGAAGTGTAGTTGTATTCTACTGGTCATTATCTTGCTAAAAGAGTAATATTGCAAGATGTTTTTGATCTGCTATAATACTAAACCAATGATTTTAATTTACTTCATCATTTAGGTATATCAAATGGCTTATTCTAAGTAAAATATTCTTCAGATGACAGTACCTTCTCCAGATCTTTGAGCAATATGCGCAAAGTAGGATAAATTTATTTCTTTGTGAGGCTTTCCCCATACTCTTAGATAGCCACTGATGGACAAAATAGAATTTGATATGACTTGTGTGTTCTCATAACATGTTCACTGAAATGATAGAGTCCAATGAAATCTTCATTATGCCATCAAAAACATATTTTCTCATTCTTCTTAAATTAATGATTTCCTCATGACTGTCTCTTCCATGTTGCCACATATTATACTGGGTGGCAGTTATGCAGACAGAACGGCTTATTTTTTAATGCACTTGACATGCATTTTAATGAACTTTTACATTTTACTGCATTTTAACATGGTTTTATTGTTATTATTTTGTAACGTGGAGGGGTTAGTGTTAAAAAGCAAACAAGTATTTTGCTTTTTAAATGCTAAAATTATAGTTTGTCATAAAAATGGGTGATATATAAAAAAGAAAAAAATAATAAAAACCATAATTATAGGAATCCATAAATCATGAATAAAGTTCTTTTGATTGTGAGGCAATCAGACACAATTTCTTCTTTTTCAAGAGCATAAAGAAGAGAGACATATGTCTGATAGCCCTCAAAATCAAGAGAATTTTATTCAAAATAGTTTCTTTCTTTTCTTTTTTTTATAATGGCTGGGCACTTTATTTAATAGCCATTAGCCTTGCCCAACTACAAGGACCGGAAGTGGTGGCCATTTTATTATGGAAGCACCTAACAGGTGGTCACCATTGCCTCCTATGAAGGGACAGACAGTTATAACGGGATTCGAACCGAGGCAGTCAGAGTCGCTAACCACTATACCAGCTGGGTGGCTTATTCAAAATCTATGGCAGATTAAAATGACTTTTTTAACTCAATTTTGAATTTTACATCGGTGTGTTTCTCTTCCAATTTGAATGCAATCCTTGGCAAATGTCAGTTATTCTTTTACAATGATTTTTTTTAAATAATGTAGTCTTTTGGAATATGCTTGGTTTGAATTTTCTTGCCTTATGCATGCTTGGTGGTCATTAAAAAGAAACTTGGAAGTAACTTCTTATAAAAGAAGAAATTTATTATTTATTATATATCTAAAGGGGCAGAAATTTTCAGTCTCATTCAGTAAAAGACTAACCTAACAGGACTAGTTGAAAGTTTCCTATCTTATAGTAATAAGATTCTAACCTCTTTCAGTGGTAGCTAATTAATTCCTTTCAAAGACATATGTGCTAAGCTTTTTTGGGGTGCATTTTGAATAAAAGAGTTTGATTTAATAATTCATATGCAAAATATTTCTGTAAAGAAACAAAACCATTTTAAAAACTTAGGGTGGAATTTTTTAATTCTTTAGTAAGTCTTTAGTGTTATTCTTTAGTCTTATTTGAGTTAATTTTAGATATTTTATTTATTTATATTTTTGGTTTATTTAATTAACCTGTTGTTAAACTTATTTAGTGATGCCAAAAATACTAGATAATTATAATTTAATTAAATATTTTTTGTTTGTTTGTTTCCTGTAGGGCTTAGATGGGCTTCCTGGGCCACCTGGTATAAAAGGTGAACGAGGATTTGTAGGGCCTCAAGGCTTTCCTGGTTTAAAAGGAGAAAGAGGTCAAGATGGATTGCCTGGTTTAAGAGGGTTCAAAGGGCTTCCAGGATTTCCAGGTATATGTATACAGGATTAAGGTCTTCCATAGAACTTTTTATATATTTATTTATTGTCACGTAATAGCAAAATTAATTTTTGTTCCTTTTTTATACATATAATTCAAATAATCTTAATTTTTGCAAAATAACAATAACATATAATTAAAATTTTCTGATTATTAAAAATGTTAAAATTTTTGTATGGTAATGGATTTTGATAAAAATTATGAATTCCATTTATGATTTTTACACCAAATATTTTTGAAGATATTATATCTGTTGTTATTTCAGCATATGTGAAAGGTGTGATAATTTTTTCTCAATGCACCTTTAAAAGATATAGAAACGTAATTAGTGGATACTGTCAGCTTCAAAATATTCCTTCAATGCTTCTGTGTATTGTTTAGAAGGCTTTATCATTTCTAGAGGTAGATTTGACCTTAAATTCATTTTTTTGGTATACTATTGAATATCTGTTTCACATTCTTTTGGATATCACTCATACATAAAACAATTCTTTGCATCATCAGCTGTTTCAAAATAACCAGAAATGTCAGGAAGCTGCATCAATTGAACTTGCAAAATTCTCTAATAGGGTAATAGCACTTTTTATCTGTTACAAAGAGTGCATTGTGAGTAAAGATATGAAGTATAATCTCAGAGAAATTGCTCTTGGTCAGTAATACTCCAGTTAAATTAGCTAATTAGTTGTTTCATGGTTCATTTGTAAATTTTCAGCTTCCAGTCTCCTACTCAATTATTTATGAAATGGTATCACATCTCATATTTTGTTATTAAAAATGTCTGCCAGTTTTTCTTATTGGTCGTCCATTTTTGAAGGCATTGTGATAGCTTCCCCATCATCTTCAGTTCTCTCATGCCACTTAGATGTACTCAATTTCTTTTATATTTTCACTTTATCCCATTTTTAACAGTTCTGATGTTTTTGTAACACATTTCAATTTTCACACAAAATTTTAATTTAATATCAATATGGTGATGTAAATTTGAATTCCTCATTTTTACAGCAAAGTGCACATCCATGTATATGTTTCTTTCCCAATAACTAGTTAACATCTACCTCTGTCAGTTTAAAATCTATATGTCTGTTAGTTCATACAAGTTTGGATATGAATATTCATATAATTTTGATTGAAAGTTAATTTAAAGTTTTCTTGGCAACATTACATAGTCATTCTAGAAACTAAATTTTTGCACACTGTAAATATGAATACCTATTTGATATAACATCATTGCCTAAAATAATAATTTCAGGTACACCTGGTGAAAAAGGAGAATCTGTAATAGCTAGCAATATTGAGAGAGTTTCTGGAGAAAAAGGCAACCGTGGTTTACCTGGTAGGTCAGGGTTTCCTGGAGAAAGAGGACCTATGGGTGATCCGGGTTTAGAAGGATTACAGGGTTTACCTGGCGACCCTGGTTTCCCTGGAATTGAGGGTCTTCGTGGATTTCCAGGCAACAAAGGAATGGCAGGAGAGCCTGGTTACAATGGTACATTAAAAAATTATTCAGCTCTTTTAATTTTTTTTTTTAAATTTCAGTATGAATTTAATGTAATGCAATTTGTATTCTCTATTGTATAGGTCTTGAAGGTTTAGCAGGTATCAGAGGCTCACCTGGTGAAGAAGGGCTGCCTGGATTACCTGGCAAACCAGCTCCATCTCGAGGGTATTTTTTTACAAGGCACAGTCAAACAACTTCTATACCTCAATGTCCATTTAATGCACCACCTATGTGGACTGGCTATTCTTTATTGTACTTACAAGGCAATGAGAGAGCACATGGTCAAGATTTGGGTAAATTTTATTTTTAACAAATAGTGTTATTTGGTATTAACAATAGTCTTATTTGAGTCCTTTCTTTAATCTTTTATGACATGAGTTACATGATGTGTTGTATTAAAGATATAATGGCTGCTGATTAAAATAGATTCTTTAATTTATAATGAATGACATTTTAGGAACACCTGGAAGTTGTCTAAAACGTTTCAGCACTATGCCATTTATGTTCTGCAACCTCAACAATGTGTGCAATTTGGCTTCTAGGAATGATTTTAGTTACTGGTTAAGCACACCAGAACCAATGAGCATGTCCATGGCACCAATAGTAGGACAAGATATACCTAAATACATTAGTCGCTGTGCTGTTTGTGAAACTCCAACTCAAGTAAATAAAATCCATATTTAAAAAAAATTATTAAGTAATATTTGATGCATGATATTGGTAATAATTTTTAAACATAGATATTTATTGTAAAGCTTATTTTGCCTGAATTTAAATCATAAAAAGAAATAGTATTTAATTATGTGGCTGCAATGTAGAATGAGATAAACTAAGATTTAGCATTAACAATATTTCTATTGTTAATCAATATTTCTAAGTTTTGTTTTTTTCTGTTGTATTAAATTTTAATCAAAAATTTTAATTTTAATATTTTTTTATTATCACAATGCATCTCTGGAATTTTAAGACTGAATTTAATCATTTAGTTATTAGCAAAACTGCTTAGTGATAAAATAGCCAAAATCATCCCGCTAAATCTATAGACCTTATTCAACTATTAGTGCAGGGTTGTTATTTTAAATAGTTTTATTTTGAAAAATTGCTGAAATGTAATAGATTTTTTCATCCATCTTAACATGAAAGAAAGAACTGCTGTACTGAAGATCTATTTTTATGATGGAATTGCTGCTACTGTAAAAATTTCTAAAATAAATGAAAGTTTTCTGCTATTTCATGAAATCATCCCTAAAAACCAGTATGTGGGTTGATGTCATTCTTATTTTTGTTAACACTATGGGTCAAGAACATTTATTGTGGTTCTTTCAAAATTCTTTTAAGACACTGTCTCGAATAAAAATTTGTTGCAATTTCAGATCTTTTATATATGTAGAGAGAAAGAGAGTGAAAGTTATCAATATTTTTATTGTTTGGCTTTGTATGTACCATACATTCCCATATGCTTTCATAAAAGGTTGATTTTAACAATGCCAACAGGGCTACTATGAAACTGTTTCAGAAAATTTAAAACATGGCGGCATTAAATGCCTCTTGGAACCCTTCCTGTTGTCAGTTTGCAGCTGGTAGTAAAAAAAAAAAAAAAAAAAAAAAAAAACTACCTATAAATGACCAAAACTGACCTCTATACAATTCCTAGAGTATAAACTGACCTCTATACAAGTCACCAACTGCTGATGAGATCACTGGACAATGGTAGTTCATTGTTGGTCAGTAGCACACAAAAGCCTTCTGACAAAAACAAATTTAATTATTACAAAGAGTTTTATCTAGTTTCACTTTATAAAATATGCCAAACATATATTAAAAAATGCATGAACAAAGTGTCTACAGAACATTTATTCTGTGACATTAAAGAGATAAAATTGTTTTAGATATTTTTAATAAAATGCAATTTAGTGCAGGTCAGTATACAAAAAATATTTTCTTTTTGATTGTAGAATGCAAAATATATATATGTGTATAAAATATAAAATAGCAAATCTATAATAAATTACTAACTTAATTAGAAATAGCTCTTTAAATTTGTTCTTTAGATTTTTATATGTCCTCCTCCTAGCATCTGCAAAAATCAAAATTTCTCTCAACTGCATCATTTCTAGATCAATGCATACATATGGCTTAATAACGCTGATGGCATAACTAACACAGAACCTAAACCGAAATTTTGACATAGCTAATTTGGAACCTGAAAAATTTTGAGAACTGAAACCTTTCTCTTAAAGAGCTGCCATTTTAGATAACTGCACACATTGCTTCTAACTCTGTTCTCGCTAAGATGCTGTTATTACTAATGCAAATTTCACTTGTGAGCCAAGTGATTGTAATAAAGATTGTATCAATTGTAATAAAGATGAGTATTTAATCTGCTTCGGCTACTAAGTTTGCTCTTCACTACGGATCTATGTTCTATGTTATCAATATTGAAAAGTCTTTTTCATTACCATATATGTATATTATGTTAATTTATTTATTAATCATTTAACAATACTGTGTTTAGGTTATTGCTGTACATAGTCAAACAATGGATATTCCAGATTGTCCTGATGGATGGGATGGCTTATGGATTGGTTACAGTTTCCTAATGGTAATTATATTTTTAATTAATTAAATTTGTTGCATTTGACTTTCAAGAAAATGTGTATTGCACTCTAAGAATCACATATTTTAGTGTGCTGCTTAATTGCGTTGAGATGTTTAAGACAGAAATATTATTAATATAAAATATGTACTCAGGGCTATAAAAAGTAGATGATCAAGTGACCATCATTAGTGCCCTTTACCACTGATTTATTTTTATTTAAACCATTTCAATTCTATAATGTCTGCTTTCGTAAAGAAAAATCAGTTCTTAATCATCTGAAAAATCTTGTGGATACAAGAATTGAAAACAGCCCATACCTGTAGCTTATGAATGTTTTTGCACGTTTATAAGTGTATGGACAAGTGTATTTTAAGCTTATAAGTAATTTAGAAAGTGAGTGTAACAAGCTTTTCTTGAATACTATATATGTATATATCTAAGAGTTTTAAAATACTGAGGCCTTGAACAGTAAAGAAATATGCATTTTAATGAATACATCCATTCATATATTGTATACTTATACACAAGCACTACATACAAAGTACTATATATATCATGTTCACAGAACTTGCTGTTTTTGATTTGGTTTGACCTACTGATTGCTATTGCATTGAGCTTGTTGTACTGAAAAGTTAAGAAATAGAAATGGCAAAAAAAAAATCACTGAAACAGTACTTTATAGCCATAGTTATGACTATAAATGCTTTACAAAATGAAAGATATAAAAAAGTAAAGTAATCTCTATTTGTCGAAAAACTAAACAATAGCTTTCTTCATTTTATTCTTTCTTCACTTTCTTCATTTTTCTTCATTTCATTATTAGTATGAATTTAATATAAAGCATTTATTAATTAAAATTAATTTTTCTTCATATCATATATATTAGCAATATATTGTTGTATTGGGGTTTTATTAATAATTATTCATCATTTGTGATTGCACTAGTTAAACATAATGCGCAGCAGAATTAGTGAAAATTTTGACCTAACTTTCTATGTTGTAAAAATTCTTTTTAGATCATAAAGTGGTTTTGTATAAAAGTTTAGCAACGGTTTTTCTTTTTATCTTTAATGTGTAAGAGATTATCTGTAGTTTTAGTTAATGATTTTTAATTGACATTTTATGTTTTAACTAATTCATATTAAATGAAGATTTCTGAAAAAAAAATGTATACATTAAAAGAGTGGGAGCGTGTGTATAAAAACAACTTATCTAGCAGAGATAACCTGAAAATTGCTGCTATTTGAAAATTGTATTTTCTTTCACTTCTGCAGAACAAAAATATCCATTACAGTCTGTCAAAAGTTGGCTGCCATGTATATTTTCTCTGAGAAAATAAAAACTGAAATTTATGTCACGGTAGTTGAGAACAGAGTTTAGAAATAGTTTAAAACATGTATAGAAAGTATATACTTTTGTATTCAGCTAATACCTTTCTTCTTAATTTCCATTACTTAATTATTATTTGGCTGAAATTCTCAAAGTGTTATCATTAATTTCTTGAGTTTGCATAGTTTGCAATTTTTTGTTTGGATATATTAGTATTTTTAATTATGTTCAGATATGTATTTTTAGTTTATTTTATTTTGTCATATAAAGCCTATTCATTAAAATGCAATGGAAAATTTAGTATAGTATTATAACATAATCTTGATTTAGTATATTTTGTCTTAAATGGGTAAAAGAAATCTGATGTGTACGCCACATAACCTCCTTGTATGAAACCTAAAGCTCCTATCAAAGTTGACAATGAATGCCACCAACAGGACATTATTCTCAATATGTATAAGAGTCATGAACTTATGTAGTTAGGTTATTGTTCATAGTATGATTCAGAAGCCAAGGGAAAATCTGGTTTGAATCCTAAGACCTTCTTAACTTCATTTTGATTGTTTGAATTAAACACAAATTCATATTTCTTGCAATATTTTGGTTCTCAAAATAAAATGTTGCATTTGAAAATTTACTTTTCAAATTTGTTTTAGAACATTGCAGATTTTAATAAAGAATATGTATTAATCATTATGTTAATTATTAAATGACATTTCATCTCATCTTTCAATGTTAATTCACCTTGATAAAAGCCTACTGTCTGATATTGCTTGTGATATGCTCAATGAAATTCATGCATATTAAGTAAAAGAAGTTTGAAGAGTTAATTTGGAAACTGAACTGAAAAAAACTATATTAAACGAAGTATCATGTCTTTGGGAGATAAAATAATTAAATGTAAGCATATTGTCTAATGTTTAACAAACGTTATGCAAGGTTTATGGTGTTAAAAGGCAGACATATCCTGAAATTGGCGAAGAAGAAAAAGCATTCAAGAGATTGCATTTAAATTCACTACCCATGGCTACTAATAACGCCTTTTGCCTGTGATTCTAAAGACTCTGTTTTAATCAAATAATATTAATACCTCTAAAATTTCAGATTTCTGTTTCATTTATTTTTCTTATATTTTTTAAATCTCGTTAATTTAAAAAAAAAGTTAAATATCACAGCTTATATAGTATAACTTTATTTAACATAAATGAAATTATGCTATATAAAGTGATATTTTTTCTTTCAGAATACTGACTCTGGAGCAGAGGGTATTGGTCAGCCCCTTGCATCACCTGGCTCTTGTTTGGAAGATTTCCGACCATTGCCTTTCATAGAGTGTCATGGCCATGGTCGTTGCAATTATTTTACCACCGCACAGAGCTTTTGGTTGGCCACCATTGATAGGGTGGACTCTTTTAGTGTGCCTCGCTCAGAAACTCTGAAAGCAGGAAATCTACGGCGAAAAATTTCCCGTTGTCAAGTATGCATGAGAAGGCATGCACCTACAATACAATTAGGTGGTCGAACTGCTCGATGAAATATTAGCAAAATATGATTTAACATTTGTGTTTTGCTCAAGCTTAACTTTTTGGGCTACTTAATAAGTTTCTAAATATCACTGAACATTTTGTTGACTGTTATTGCTGATTCAATACTTCAATGCTGAAAAAGTGATTTTTATTTTAAGGTATATGATCTGCTTTTTCAAAATTGTAAATTTATGAAATTTAGTGATCATCTCATACATCAGAATCTCATTTTTTATAATTTCTGAGGCTTATATTTACAAAGTAATTTTATTTTTAGTTTTATTGTGACTTGCTGGTTTTTTTTTTTTTTTTTTTTTTATGTTTCTGTTTTCTTGCAAAAATTCATGTCTTAAAAAAGATCTGCTTGTTTAAAATCTGCATTGCTCAAAAGCTCATATTTTTCATTATGTTATGAACTATTTCACTAAAATTTTAAATTGAATAATGCTATAGATTTTAATCAGTTTTGATAGTCATGTAAAGAGTATATGAATGTGCCAATAACTGTTTCCTTATAAAGAGTGCCAATATTTATTTTTATATATGAGCTATGTTACATTATAAAGAAATATGAAGGTATATTTCTAATGTCAATACGTCATAAATGCTATTTTTAATGAAGCTTTACTGTACTATACATAATTTAAAAAAACAATAAAATTCACTGCTACTTTTTCATATGATTTTTTTATTCCATTTGGAAATTCTGTATCATTTTCATATATAATCTATATCTAAAGCTATTTAGAATAGTACATTTATTTTCTTATCTTACAGTAGTTTTTAAGGATTCTTTATCAGGATGACTGGCCAATTAGAGCTTAGTTCTTAACTTATTAGGTTAACCTTTTGCAATCATATTTATCTCAGATATGACATAACAAAAATATACTAGTGTCCAGGATGAAGAGAATTTTCATATTTGGTTGATTAAATCCAGTACCCTTATGGACAGATTTCAATCTCATATGATATGGACATGGGTTGATATAATACAGGAAAAATGCCAAATGACAGTCATGCCACACAAAGTGTATGAGTAGGTTGATATAATACAAAAAATATGCCATACGACAGTGATGATACACATATTGTACCAATAACTGTTTTACAGAGTATGGAGACATTAAGTGGCAGAAAGTACAACATCAGTATGTCATTTACTGCCAAAATTTGTTGGACGCTATACATTAAAAAGTGATCTATGTCAGTACTCATATATCTGTTCTCAATTCATTTTGCAAGATTTACATGTAAAGATAAGGAACTTTTTATATTCAACTTCATGAAATGAGCAGAAACTCCTCTCAAGAGATTGGTGGTATGGGAAGACGAGTAAGAGACCATTGTGCTATCTTCTTGGATGTACTCCCTCAAAACTGGCATGGAACTGCACAGTTAGAGCAGCACGACTGTACCTGTATGACCAATCGTAAATTTCTTGTATTCTGCTCATTTCTACCTGTATCTGCCTTCTGAGCATGCCAACTATAGCAAGTACTTATTTTAAATGGCATGAATTATTTCTGTTTCGTGAATCACATCTTTCTTAGATATATTCATTAACAAAACATATGAAATTATTTAAATTCAAATCACAATGTATAGTCAGAGAGAAGTTGTTGAAAGTCAACCCAAATTACCATGTGAAGAAAATTCAGAAATTAAGATTAGTATCATAAAATGATGGATTTTTTATTCAGAAGATCATTATTTCTCAAAGAAATATATGATTGCATAAATACGATTTCAAATAATCTTCAGAAACAGTTTTGCAGTTAAAGCAATTGAGGTCCAGTGTAAGATTACATAAAGGAATTCAAACTACTATTTGGAATATACATATGAAAATATTTATGAATAAATATTTAGATTTAAAATGTATTTAAGATTAATGTGAGAAGTGCTCATGCAAAGAAAAAGTTTCTCAGTAATGAATAACTGCAGTTACTGATATTTTGAGTCCTGAAAATAGTCTTAAATGGTTAAATGTAAGAAAATAGATGTTCATTCAAAAATCCATGTTTAATATAACATATTTTATTAATCATGACCATCACTTGGCTATCATTAAAATATGTGACAATTTATTTCTTGAAAATGAATTACACAGACTACATTAAAGATGAATGGAGTCCTTGAGCTTTATTTAGATGAATAGCAGAGATTGCTGAATCTATAGTGTTTACTGTGGACTGTAATCTCTGTAACTTAGATTGCTTAGAATTTGAATCTTGAGTATAATGCATTCAGGATCAAATGGGAGAGGCAATTCTAGAATAAAGTTGCATGAAATGAGAGCTTATAAGTATACATAAATTATTAAAAGGTAAGATCGTACTTTAACTATTTACAGTTTTTGGAGTTTATATGTAACATGTTAAGCAAACAGGAACTTACTCTCCAAGTTCTTACTTATGTAGTTGCATTTTCTAACTTAGTACTCAATACTTCTTCCATACATTTTAATGCATAACCCAGCAAATTTGAGTTTTTTAGTGAATAGTACAGTAATTAATTTTTTAACACATATGACTAATTTCCAGTAAAAGAGCCAGATCTTTACTTTTCATAGAGACATCAGTAGAGAATACTAGAAACACTGTGTAAGGTTATATTTAGTCTATTACTGCTACTTTAGTTCTATAAGCCTAACAGACTTATAGTGAGTTATCACTATGTCTGAGATAGAACAACAAAGTCTTAGAAAGGTTATAAAGCAAACTTCATACACCATTATACTTTTATAAACACACTTTTATACAGAAAAGCACAACTTTGTGCTATAATAATCACAGCTCATGATGTTGCAAAAAAATAAATAACTGTTAATTAAATGTTGATCAGTAGTCAAAGACTACACAATTAAATACCAAGCTATAAGCTGGTTCAATGAATTACCAGAATTTATCTCAATGCCAGAAACACTCTCTCTCAAGATCCAAAAGTCGTAGCTTAATTATACAAACAAGCCATAGCTAATTTCCATTCTAGTGAGGAATATGGAAAGAAGTTAAAGTACAGATCCAAATTATAGTAATTGGTTAGTTTAAAATAAGACTCTTACACTTTTCTCCACCAGAATTTAAGTAAGTTGAATGAAGGTCTTTGAGACCCTGCTAAAATTTTAAATTCTAAACCTAATAACATGATCCAACCTTTACAATCATCAAGTTAAATATCTAAATCTAAAATTCTATTGTTTCAAAGTTGGGATTTTGCTTAGGCATATTTCATGCAATCATAGTTAATATCTCATCTCATTCCAGAAATCTGGAAGAAAAAATAGTTTAGTGAAGAAATGTTAATATTTACACTTTTCAACTTGTTATTTATAATTTCATAAAACTTTTTAACAATTTGCTTTCTCTAAATGAAATTTCTCACCTCTGCTCTCCAGCACTGTAATGCATGAAAGTTTGTTTAAAATTGTGTGGTTCAATGACTATTTGCTAACCAAAATCCTACTTTGTTAATAGCTTAGACACACTGCCTCAATAACATCCAATTTCAAGACTGTATAACTAATGTTCTATTCTTAATTTTTATTAAATTTATTAAATTATATACTATGTTATATTTTAATTTTATTTCAATCATTATCATTTGCTAGCTTTATATTTATCATACACAACATCAGAACATTTAACTTTTACAAAACAATTAATAAAACATGCTTCATGGAAAGCATTAAAATTCATTTACATTCATGCTCAGTTTGGACTTTGTATCACATGTACAGAAGTTGCTAATATTTATTTCACTATTGTGCCAAAATTTTACTCTATATAGTCTCTTGGATTAAAATCACAGCATCATGTTTGTACTAAAAAACTTTTCAAGACAGATGCACAATTAAACTGAAAAGTTTCTTGTTGAATACAGCTAGTATATCCATGCTTGAACAAAACTCAACATAACATAGTAACTGTTATATTAAGATATAAAATAAACTGAATATTTAAAGAAATAAACCAGCTTTCCACTTATTTTTGCTTCTTTGGAAATCATCCATCCTTTTCCAAAGAAATTCCTCCCAAGACAGGAAAGTACTGATATAAAATATGCAAATTTTCCTACTCGGCTGCTGATTCCCCTGAAGGTCCACTGGTCACTTGCATTTCTGTGACACTTACCCTAGGGCTCTAGAAATTCCAGTGTAGCAGGCCACTTCTTTCCTAATCAATGTGCTGTCAAAGATCTCCTTTGGTTCGTCTGGAACTTTGACTGCTGGCCTGGCTCCTTTAGACTGTCGATTCTGGCTTGGCCAACTTGATCTTTTCCCATCATTATAAGCCTCATTCATAGCTGGGCTTCTCCTTCATTGACTTCCCTACAGTCTTTGCTTAGCACTTGGTTGGTTGCCAGATCTGAGAGGTCTTTGTATTTTCTTTGATTTCTGGATAAATTCCTTGATCTTTTCTTTCTTCTTGCCCCTTCTCCATTTTCTGTAGCTTTACTCTTTGAAGACTCATTGAACTTCATCTTTTTATTTTCTTTTTTCATCATTTGCAGCATCTCTTCTCTGCAGTTCTTGTACTCTGGATGTCAATGCTGATTCCACCACATTCCTAGATGGCCCTTGATTGTTCACATTAGGTGACTTCCACAAAACGTCTCTTAACAGTGGCATAAGAGCTGTTGATAGTACTTGATCTTGTCTACATTCACTTTTGTATGTTCATCTTTCTGAAGTTTCAAACATACTAGTTTTTTCCTTATTTGCTCAATCAAAAGTAGGCATTTAGAGTTATTACAAAATTTCTCAACCTTTCTTCTGGTGTTCACAAAAGAGAATGTTTAATTTTCAAGACTTTTATCTCACACCTTAAAATCAACTTTTTGCATTTTCTTGTCATAATAAAAATTTTGTTTCACCCAGGCCATATCCAAATTTCGATTTGCCTCATCCAGTAGTTTTCTGAGTATCTGCCATCTTAAATTTCTCAGACTTCTAAACAACATTAAAAAAAAAATTATCTAGGAGAATAATTAATTTTCTGCAAAGAAATAATTCAGCCAGTAGCTTTCTTGTATCATGTTTGATATTCTCAAAGCAAATGTGAGTTTATTAAACAGTCATCATAATGTGGGTGATAATTTTTTTACATAGCTGTGAGTAATTTTAACCATATTTCTATTCACCCATTCTGCAGTATTTGGATATTGTTTGGAAAACAGCCTTGACATCAAGTGAGGGAGAAACAACTTACTATGCTAATCCAGATTATGGTTGCCATCTAATGACGTATTTCCATTAGGGAAACAGCCCACCAGCGGCCGAGCGGTAAAGACGCTGAACACTGGTAGTTCGGTCCGAGGTTCGAATCCCGCGAACGGGCGGCTGCATGGGCGTTTTCGTGGTTTTCCCCAAGTGTAACATGTATACGAGCCAGTTTCCCTTAGAAAGTCCTCCACAAAGGCATCCCTCCCATTAGGCAGATAGCCCTAGTGCGCCTTGCCATAATTAAATACACACACACCTCTAGGGAAACAACAGGACACTTTTTCCTCCACTAGGGGATTTTCTCAGTAGCAAACAGGTGAGCATATTCAGACACCATTATCACATCCGTCTCTGTTTTAGCTAAAATACTCCATTTCGGTAATGCTATTTACTGTTTACATACGTTAAGATTTTGCTTGGGCTACCATATTTGGCCTATCATCACATGCTT